TTATGAAGAAAAAAAATGAGTGTGGTAGTAAAAGCCACAATAATGAGAAAGGTGATGGAGGAGGGAAAGATGGCTGTGGGAATTTACTATAATTAAATATAAGTGAATGTGCCTGGGTGTGTTTACGGGTGGGCGGAATTGGTATGTAAAGCAGAAAAGCAATGGAGTAGATTATTCCTCAGTGACTGCCACATTCTTACTGAAAAACAAACCACCTCAAAACCTAGTGGCTTAAAACAACATTCATTAATTTTCACTCCCACATCTGCAGGTTGGCTGTGGGGTCAGCTGGTATGGGTTGGGCTCAGCTGGGGTTGGCTGGAAGCCCGGGCTGGGAGCTGCTCTGCTCCACACACATTGCTCATCCTCCTTCAACCAGCAGGCTTGCCAGAACATGCAATTCCCACGGCGATGGCAAGCGAGGGGAAAAGCAACCCAGCTGCGCAAGCACATTTCAAGCTCCTGTTCGCATCACTTTAGCTTAATATCCCTTTAGTCAAAGTAAGTTACATGGCTGAGCCTGAAGCTTAGGAGTGGAGAAACAGACTGCACCTCTGACGGAAGAACTGCGAAGTTACCAGCAAAGGATATGAATCTAGCAAGGGAGAAAGAGATGGGAACAGTAATGTGATGCACCCCAAAGGCTGTTTTTTCCCCCTCATTAGAAGGCAAATTGTTCCAATTATCTGTGTTTGAAGATTTACACTTTCCTTTTTTTTTTTTTTTCTCTGATGAGCTTATGAATACCCTGCCAGGCAACATCTTTCTGGCCCACGAAAAAGAGACTGTCCTTCATTGCTAGCCCTGTCCTTTCTGCCAAGCCACTTCACATTAGAGGCAGCATAGCATAAAGACAGGCAGTACAGTGTAATGATTTAGAACCGTTTAAATTCTAGTTTCTTTACTTACTGTGTGACCCTGAGCAAATCACTTAACTGTGCCTTGATCTCTTCACCTGTAAAATGGGGAGGATAATAATGGCACCCATGGCACAACTGTGAAGATTGAGTAAACTTATAACAGTACTTGGCACATATGTAGTTCTTATGGTTTGTCTGTGTCCGCATCCAAATCTCATCTTGAATTGTAGCTCCCATAATCCCCACGAGTTGTAGGAGGGACCAGGTGGGAGATATTGAATCATGGGGGCGGTTCCCCCCATACTGTTCTCATGGTTAGTGTATTAGTCTCACAAGAGCTGATGGTTTTTTAAAGGGAAACCTCTTTTGCTTGATTCTCATTTCTCTCTTGCCTGCCGCCCTGTAAAACATTCTTCCTTTGTCTTCTGAGGTGATTGTGAGGCCTCCCCAGCCATATGGAACTGTGAATCCTTTAAACCTCTTTCCTTTATAAGTTACCCAGTCTCAGCCAGGCGCGGTGGCTCACACCTGTAATCCCAGCACTTTGGGAAGCCGAGGCAGGTGGATCACCTGAGGTCAGGAGTTCAAGACCAGCCTGACCAACATGGAGAAACCCCGTCTCTACTAAAAATACAAAAATACCAGGTGTGGTGGTGTATGCTTGTAATCCCAGCTACTCGGGAGGCTGAGGCAGGAGAGTCACTTGAACGCAGGAGGCGGAGGTTGCAGTGAGCTGATATTGTGCCTTTGTACTCCAGATGGGTAACAAGAGTGAAACTCCATCTCAAAAAAAAAAAAAAAAAAATTACCCATTCTTGGATATGTCTTTATTAGCAGCGTGAGAAGAGACTAATACAGTAGTACTATGTAAGTGGTCATCATTATTATTACTCTTACTAATTCTAGGAACCCACATCTCTAAAGCCAAGTGGCCTCAGCATGGCCCTGCTGAAAGTTTTAAGCATTGGCTTATTTTTAGTCTTGCTTTCCAAAGGTTCTAGTGGTGTTCACTCAGGCAGTCCATGGGCCAATAAAAAGAAGATGCGATTTGAATTTTACCAGATTACAGGAATCAACTCAATTAATAGAGCTCATTGATTTCTAATTCTTGATTCATTTACACTAATATGTTCATTTCATGGATGGACAGTTCCCCTAGTTATATTCATGGTTTTAATGTTACAGGTGTTAACATTATCCTCCTGATACTTTTCTGTGGCCTTGCTCCCTCAAGCTATGTTTTCAGATTTTATAAGCGAAAAAGCTCAGTGTTGGATGATGTATGGCACGAGGGACTGGGGGAGCTCAGAAAGGAAACATTGCAAGTCCTCGTTAATTTGGACTCCACTGACTTTGAATCTGTGATAATTTAGACACAGGGTAAATCAGAAGTTCTTGGTGTTATTATAAGAGAAAGGCGCTGTGCTCAAACTTTGCGAAGTTAAACTCAATACGTAGTTCTAGATCTGAAATGAGGGGATAAAAGAGGAGACCGGGGGCTGGGCGTCGTGGCACATACCTGTAATCCCAGCACTTTGGGATGCCAAGGTGGGAGTTCAAGACCAGCTTGGCCAACATGGCAAAACCCCTATCTACTAAAAACACAAAAATTAGTTGGGTGTGGTGGCTTGCACCTGTAATCCAAGCTACTCTGGAGGCTGGGGTAGGAGGATCACTTGAGCCCCAGGGGTTGAGGCTGCAGTGAGCCGAGATCATGTCACTGCATTCCAGCCTGGGTGACAGAGTGAAAAAAAAAAAGGCGGAAAAGCCCCAGATCTTTGAGGAAGACTTGGCCCAATTTCAAGCTTGGACATGCACACAGCAGGTAGAAATAGAAAATAAAAAGTATAAACCACTCTGAGAATGAAGCAAATTTACTTCAGATTTTTTAAAATTTTATTTTATTTAAAGTTCCAGGGCCGGGCTCAGTGGCGCCCTCCTGTAATCCCAGCATTTTGGGAGGCTGAGGTGGGCAAGTCACTTGCGTTCAGGAGTTTGAGACCAGCTTGGCCAACAGGGTGAAACCACATCTCTACTAAAAATGCAAAAATTAGCTGGGCATGGTGGTGGGCACCTGTAGTCCCAGCTACGTGGGAGGCTGAGGCAGGAGAATCACTTGAACCAGTGAGGCGGAGGTTGCACTGATATTTCGCCACTACACTCCAACCTGGGTGACAGAGCGAGACTCTGTCTCAAAATAAGTAAATAAATAAGGAAAGAAAGAAGAAGGGAAGGGGAGAGTAGGGGAGGGGAGGGGAGGGGAGGGGAGGGAAAGAAAGGAAGGAAGGAAGGAAGAAAGAAAGAGAAAGAAAAAGAAAAAAGAACAGAAAAGAA